ATATAGCATAAGAAACAAACTCTACTGAGTAATTTGATTTTTATCCAAACATCCAGAGTAGGTAGATTTTACTATTTTTGGTTATGTCATTTGCACATGTCTTACGCAAAGTCTGATTTGCTCTATTATTTGCCCAATACTTTTGAAATTGTGAAAGATTTCCAAATAAGACTGAATGTATATGAATGAAGTTTCTATCTGTAAAAGTCTGCAAAACTATGAATCTGGTAGTTTGCTTAAAATGTGAAATGAACAAAATGCTAGAACACCCTAAACCCTGTTTCAATTTCCTAATGAAAACATAATATTTTAACTAAATAGCTCTAAACTGATTTTTCATAAACTTACACTAAGTATGCCATCAGACACAATTAATGAAAGTTGCCCAATTGGGGAGATGGGAAGCATTTAAACTAACTAACTAACTAACTAACTAACTAACTAACTAACTAACTAACTAACTAACTAAATAAATAAATAAATAAATAAATAAATAAATAAATGCTCATTTATATTATTTTCAAGTAATGAGCCAGCATTTTGCTGCCTGATATGGGGTCTAATCCCATCTTTATCTCTCTCTGCATGTGACACTTTAGTAAATCAGTTCACTGTGTTGCATGACAGGTTTCGATACTTCTTGTTTTTTCAGACCAAAGTCACTTTTATACTTTTATAACAACAAACATTTCAATGTATGTTATTTCTTATAAAGGATGATTATTCCATACCTCACTGCCCATTAAATGTTCATTTGGTGAAAAAAGATCAAACCAATTTTCATTTTTGACTACTACAGGAACCTAAAAGTAATAATAAATTTAAATATTCTATTAACATATACATACATTGTTAATATTAGAATGAAAATCTATATATTTCATGGCTCAAAGTTATATATCAAAGTGTATCCCAAAAGACTTGTACACTGATTAAGAAAGTATGTTGAAAAATATATACTATGTTGGTAATAAATCAGGTATCCAGAATGTTAATATGAAATAGTCAGAAATGTATGAAGGGGTAATAATGCCTTCCATGGTAACGCATATACATATTCTGTTTTTCTCTGTATTCATATATTTGAGAAAAACTTGAAAACCCTTCAAAATATCTGAACAAAGATGATCATGGAACAACTATAAAAACTATTGGATGAATAGAAATTCCAAATTCTTGAAATCTGATTTTCACAATTCTGGAGCTCAATATGAGCTTTTAAATTATAAGAAATACATTTCACATTTCTCATAATCATTGATTTACAATAAAGGATACTCCCATTCTTTTTTGCATATTATCCTGCATTATCCAAGTTGCAAAATAAACTTTAAAAAAAAAGAAAACCAAAATTTTAAATAGATTAACCAGAAATTAGATGCATCTTACCTTATTGGTTAAAATCTCTTGAGGCCTTTTCCAAAAACCTACTTTCAGTGAAGAGGGAAGCTCGAGTTTTCCTTCTGGATCTTCAAAGACATGCTGTGTGCAACATTAATTGAAAGAAAAATTAGTTGATTTCTTATTTATTCATATCTAGACCACACTAACTGAATTTAGTGGTACTTTGATGTTATCTGTTCAGTTGAGTCTGACTGTTAATTTAATGAATTGATCTGAGTTAATCTAAGTTATTATATTTAAAGCAAATCCTAGCAGCTGTCTCCTAAATGCAGAATTGGTAAAATTTCTATGACTCTGAGTAATGTAAGTAATGTCACCAGAGGAAATAGTCCCAACATTTTGCATCTATTTCATATTGGCTTATAGGTGGGAGTTTAAAATAAAATGTAAAAACTATTCTGTATATTGACTCTGTGGAAATATTTGTTTTCTAATTATGCCACAATTTTGGCATTTATTTGCTGAATTTTGATCTGATTGTTTTTTATAACTATGTCTAATATATCATAACAATTACAAGTACAAGTCTTAAATCCATGACAAGCAATGAAGATACTGATATACTATATGCATTGATACTACAGTATCCACTCTATCTACATATTGGACAGGTTGTTAGTAGACAAAACAGCTTCTTCACCATCTACCAGCTCTCTGACACCACTCTCATTTTTAATAACAGGATACACAGAACAATTATTTTAAGTTGTTCATGCATTTTTTTCTTCATATGTTATTATGAAACTCTTATTTTATATGTAACTACCGTATTTTCACGACCAAAAGCCGCACCGGTTTAAAAGCCGCAGTATCAATTAACGCTAATTTTTTTAACTTTTTC